TATCGAGTTTCGTTTTGTAAGATAGGAAATGTTTCAATTTTACGAAACGAGAGAGTATAGAATTACTTCTTACGAGGATTATCTTCTAACGTACATTCTCCTAGCAAAACTTTCTCTTCGTGTTAATTGAAATAATGATCTCGACTTTATAATATTACCACGATTAGACGACTAGCTGGGGAAATATTATATATGTATATATATATATGTACATTTTTAATTTTCACATCTCGACATCTCGACATCTCGCAGTCGTACCATTCGCGTTAATTTTCTGATATGCACCCGAGGCTCTCCCTAATTTCTGCGCTAATGAACGCGACTCTGACAACGCGTTCGCTGCAAGTGTGGTGGTGTACCTACGATGCGGTCCGGTTTCATTCCAAGGCATTTATTTTACGATTATATTTTAAGATGGAATGCGAGACGACGTTTGCATAAATATTTGTAATATTAAGGTACGTTATAATTTACTCTGACGCGTTGTAAACGTAGATTACGTCGCTATGAATACGTTCATAATTTGGTATGTATTACGTGGTCAGTTTCTAGCGATTTTAACTCTAATTATCCCTTTCTATCTCTTTCTCCCTCCGTCCTTTCGTTTAAAGTGCGTAACCAAATTACTCTACGAGTTTATGGAAAATTCGCGAAATTAACGCATAATTATCGTGTACTGCGCGCGTTCATCGCGATCTATTATGAAAGTTCAATTACAAAAGAACATCGTTAAAACGAAACACGGATGAATTTTAGTTGTTTAATCGTCGCATTTATGGAATTTACGATACATATTATAAATATTAATACGAATCGATATAATACCATTGACAGATTTAAATATTATCGAGGAATTAAACTTTATATCGCAAATTTAACAGATTGACTTTTTTACTCTTTTATTGGCAAATATAATATATTTATATTCTTGCGAGTGTAAAAGGGCGTGTTGAGCGATGTTGACCCTATAAAATAGAGCGCTATCCTGGCTTCTCTATTTAACGATTTGCAAAGACTCGCGAATCTCTTCTAGCGGCACTTTTGGAATCGACGAATCGAATGGCGGAGGACGTGCGTTGTCTCTCGTCGTTCCACGGCCTTAACTTTGTTTGTGTTTTCAAGCGGCTATTCTAGACGGAAGATTTGTAAATGCGCGAAGAAAATAGATCCACGCTGACGATCGTCCCACGTAGCTTTTCCAAGTTCGAAGCCTAAGCTCGCGATCGAGTTATCGGAATTCTAAGAGATATCTATGAGAGATCTATGAGAGATCTATGAGAAATCCATGAGATGTCATGTTTCTTTACTTATCGGCCGTCTACCGAGAATCGAGAATAATCTTGTCTGACAATACGTCGGATTCCTTTATGTAACTTTATCTCAAGGACGTCGTCGGGAAGCGAAGTAAAATCAAGTGACAAAAAAATTCTTATTCCTCGTCGCAAGTAACGCAAAGATTTCTCGAGAATAGAAAAAGGCAAGAGGCGCGTTTTTTCTCTCTTTCTTTTCTTTTCTTTTTTTTCTTTTCTTTTCTTTTCTTTTCTTTTCTTTTTGTTTCCTTTGAAAAAGATTCACACGCTTTCGTCGTCTCTTCGTACGCCATTATCTTCCTTTTTTTTATCTTTTTTCCTTCAGCGGTTCGCGTGGAAACACATCGACGAGAGGAAGAGGACACAGGAAAAGATTTTTGTTGTACTGCGCGTACGCATGGGGCCTGGCCTGCTTGATTACCGTCCTAGGAATCGTGGTCGATCACACCGACTTTTTCCCAAAGTATTTGCGGCCTACTATCGGACGAGCAAGCTGTTGGTTTACATGTAAGATTATTTTTATTCCAACCATATGGAAGATTCATTTGAAACATCTTCTACTTCGACATTGCTTCGTAGCTGGAAGTAATCTTCACGGTGAACTCTTGTTCTTCATCGCACCGTTGACGCTTCAACTTCTAATCAATATCGTCTTCTTCGTTATCACATCTATAAATTGCAACAAGGTAAAGACTGAGATAAACAGAGTGATCACGGATCCTTCGGACATTAGAAACAAACGATTTCAGGCCGATCGAACCAAGTAAGTGCTTGAAGATCTTATTATCGTAAAGTTAAATCGTACATTTATAAGACTTTTTTCATTTACCGTAGATTGATCATGAATATAAAGCTGTTCATCGTTATGGGAATATCTTGGATATTAGAGATTGTCTCTTACTTTCTCAACAATTACGCCAAGGATTTGCAATGGCGCGAAGAATTCTTTTATGCTTCGGACACCTTTAATTGCCTTCAGGGACTATTGATCTTCATTCTCTTTGTTCTAAAGAGCCGCGTATATTATGCACTACGAAGAAGATTGGGGTTTGAAGACAAGAAACGGTTGTCGAGCAACGCAACGACCGCCGTACACGACACTTGTAGGGTGAAAAACAGTGCTAGCAATAGCACGCTTATGTCTACGTTTCAAGTGAGCTTGACGCCATGACGAAAACCGGACAAACATTTTACATAGATCGAAGTATTACACTTAATCAGGGATTTCTTCAAAGCGTGCGTTATTTTTGCGCCTTTGGTTTATGGCACTCCAACTTTTCAACTCTTCCGCTTTAATATTCTATTATTATTACGTTGTACTACGCGTTCCGCGAAGAGGAAAGAAGTAACAAATTCGACCACAAAGATCTTTGTGTATAAAGTTAAGAAAATGACGCCATCGACGTTGCGTTCGTTTTTTTACCTTTTTCTTTTTTATCTTTTTTTTTTTCTTTTTTCTTTGTTTGTTTTTTTTTCTTTTTGGTCCTCTAAGCGAGATCATCTCGCACGAGATCATTCAACTGGGCTGGAACTGTCCGGTTAAAGTTTTTAAGATATTTACGACTTTCTTATGGCAGATATTTACGCTCGAAAGTTTGAGTTTAACGAGCGATGTTTCTGCAATCTTTAAATCCGTTCGTACAGGCAGTAACGTTCTAGCCAAGCTTCGAGCGATTATTTTTGTTACCTCGTAAATGAGTAACGATGGTCGGATACTCGATTCTCTAGGAAGAAAAAAAAAGCTGTCTCTCGTGAGAAATAGCAAAGTTATGAGGAAACACGATTCTCCAAGATCTTTCAAAGTTGAGAAACGATAAGTGAGAAGCTGCCTTGAAATATTAACTATCATCTAGTTATTGAAAGCGAACGAAGTGACATACATATTTGTATATTCTTCGAATCGGACATTGTTATGAATCATTTTCGAGAAACTAGTCGTCTTCTACGTTATACCGACAAGGAAAAGCTTTTAACGTATTTGCAATTTGCTTCATACATTTTCCACGCTTGTAACTTAGTTCGAACACGTAGCTCGTAGACCATATAGAATCAAACGAAGACGAAATCGAGATCGAGTTCTCTCGTAAGATACCAAAGAGGCTTTCTCGTTCGTAACGTAAGCTGATGTTCTCAAGGAGTAATCCTATTACGTCATTAAATTTACCAAAGAGAGAGAGAGAGAGAGAGAGAGAGAGAGTGAGTGAATGAGCGAGAGGGGAAAGAAAGAGGGAGTCTTTACAATTTGTTACGAAGAAGCAACACGCTCGGAGACATGTGTCCTAAATGATAGCGTATAGTTTTATACAATGCGACAAACCTATCGTATTTTTCCTTTCCCTTCTAAGCGTACGGCTAAGCTTTATAAACGATAATTGTTCATTATATAAATGGTACAAGAGCATGCGTATAAAAAGTATCAAAGGATTTTGATTAAAAAATCATTTTTCTAGAAGAATATTTCTCTTTTCTCTGTTATCGTTTCTCTTTTATTCAACTATACTCACATTTGTAGATTTACCACGATACTTGTAGTTTTTGGATTTCCGAAGGAAAAGAAAAAAAAAGAAAAAAGAAAAAGAATCCTCGGCAGCATCACAATTTCATCAGCTTCGTTCCTTCGTTCATCTTCGAACTTCCGAAGTAGTTACCGGGCAAAGAATAGTGAGGTTTCGGAAAGTTGTGCCAGCCGCACTAATTTTCCTGTTTCTCCATGCATATTTCTCCTTTTATTTCTTTTCTTCGTAGACTATCGTTTCTTCTTGGAACAGGACGAACGATAAGGAGAAAGAAGATATCGCTCAAAGACTGATCCTTATCGCAGAAATACTTTTATTATTATATATATATATTATATATATATATATATATATATATATATATATATATATATATATATATATATATATATATATCCGAAAATCTTATCTCGCGAAGAAACGTCATATATTATTTTAATCGTCTCGTCGATTAACTTTGAGAGCGTTCAATTATTGGTTACGTTTATAAAATATCATCCTCGCTAGATTGTAGATGAATTCTTATTATACTATGTTTAACTCGTTATCTTTGTCATCGCACTCTCGTGTAATAGGTGATAAGCGGCATATAAGCGCAGAAAATATGTACAAATATCTACACGCGATTGGAAATCTATATAATCATAACGCATCTAATCTTACAGAGATCTCTACAATTCAAAAATGTACAAACAAAACCGAACCTTTAGATGTGAGCAAATATGTACATACACGTATAATCTTTATTTTCTCATCTTATTTCCCTAAGTTTATAAAATATTATTTCGTTATCATTCGACGAGCCAAAATAACTTTATTTTCTTTTCATTCTTAATATAATTTTCATTGCAAATGCAACATCGCCTTGTCCTTTTCCTCGTTGAGAAAATATGTTATATCGATCGGACAGGAAGTAAGTCAAAAAGAGAAAACAAAAAAAGAAAAAAAACGTCGATAGTACAACAAGGACTCGTATGTCGCGTTTCGTACACGGTTTATTCCTTTGGTACTCGAAAGGATGGCAAATTCGAGGAAAAATTTCAACTTTTTATCCGCAACATCAGACAACCGAGCAAAAATAGAAACGACAAGAATGGTATCGGATGACTTTTCTCAAGGACTACGATCTTCTTCATCGAGAAGAAGGATGCACGTAAGAGACTAAGTTTTTTTCTTCTTCTTCTCTTTTTCTATTATTTGTCCGCATTGACCTTACGAAATAAAGTTCTCTTCCCGGAGACCGAAGAAAGTCCGAACTCTTGTGTACATATGCGTAGAGGTACTTGCGCTCTCACCACACACGCACGCGCGCACACACACACACACACACACACGAACGAACATGTACGTACATACATAGCTTCCCATTTACGCGGTGAGATAATAAACAAAACGTAATAGCTAGAAAAAGAAAAAAAAAGAATGACGACACACGGAGAACGAGACAAGGATACGTATTTCCTTCTCGAGGCATCCGTCGATAAAAAGACAACGAGTAAACGAACGAACGAACGAACGAACGAACGAACGTAAGAAAAAGAATATAAAGTAGAAGAAAGAAGGCAAAGGTCGAAAGAAAATTAATCAAGGTTTCCTTTCGCTCGCAGTTTCTTCGAGATCGGGATCCTCGTTGATGATCGAAATATCTCGTATCGAGGGTCTTCTCGTTTTCCAAGCGTCTGGCGGTGCGCTAGGAGTCGTCGTCTTTGTCAATAATTTTGGACCGGACAACGATATGATGATCGCGCCGGTCGGTGCCGTTAATAAAATAGAAAGAACGCAAAGAGTCAGTACCGTGTTCGCGTATTCGACCTGCTCGGCGTTATCCCGATTAACCTCGTCGAGAGTGACCGGTCCTAATGCCGCTTGCACCGTAGCTTTTGCCATCCACGAGAGAGCAATAAAGACTTTTTCTTTCGTATTGAGCTTGCTACGAATTCCTACGAATATCGTCACGATTATCCGAATAACGATACCGGCTATGAGACAACTGATCCCAAGATAGACGGTTTTTCCTTTCAGCTCGGCTATTGATATCTGCGTGCCGGTGATCCCGAAGAGAATCGGCTCGAATATCATCCAGAAGATCTCGAAGGACGTTGCCACGGGATTCTGAAACAGAAGAGAATTCCTCTGAACACGTATTTCAACGCATTCTAACGTATATACAAAAGTACGTCATTATTTTAAGGACACCCTGTATAAAACGAGCGATCAAGGAAGAGAATCTCGATCGACCAATCACGAAACGGACGAGTCTATTTCGAGTCGAGCGCCGTTATTACTCCCATAGAAACTACTCTCGTTTAATTTTTTATCCATAGGATATTTCTCTCTTCCGATCGATTATTCGTTGAAACCTTGAAGGAGCTACGATTTGGCGTTAAGCTCGCATCATCGAGTCCATATATCCGTACGATCGAGAAAATATAACGAAAGAATCCGAAATGGACGAGTCCATTTTTCTCGGGGTATTATCCGTGGTAAGAGACGCGTCGACGAATCACGAAGCAGGACTAGACGATCGTCAAGAATTTTCGACCAATCGCATGCGCCCTTTCGCGCGACTCGTTACGATTCTTCGTCAGTCGATTGTTTCGTTCGTTAAGATTCACTTCGACGATCGGTGCTCCTCTGTTAAACGCTCCAATCATGCAGAGAAAATTGATGATATTGCCGACAAATAGCAGCTACATCTTCTTCTATTCTCGGCCATCGCCTATGGTAAGTCATTTACGTTCGAACTTGCACGCTTTGATCCAAAAGACCGTCGCTCTTTCGCTTTCTTTCGAACGTCGTTAATCATAATAATATAAAATCCTTTTTCTTATGCATGTATATATATATATATACATATATACATACATATATGTATATATATATATATATATATATATATATATATATATATATTTCCGATATATTAGATCTAATGTATTTTACGATAATTTGACTAATGAGTCGATAACCATAAGCGATCCATGATACGTACATATACAGCCGTGCATATAGATGTAAATGTAGACGCCAGTACGCAAATTTGTCTCGAAAAAAGAAAAGATATCCTCGATCGATCAAAGCTAAGAACGTTCTCTGTCGCTGCTCGTTTGCGAATGGGCCTGTTATCGCGTTCGTACGGTTAAATGTATACATATGTATGTATATATACAACAAGGAATAGGACAAGGAGAAAGAACGAAGGTTATTTGACTCAAATAAAATACAAACGTTTCTTCTTCGCGTTTATATACATACGTATTACTATCGGTGTCGTATCAGTTGGCAGAGTGCGGCTCGATGGATCGCAAGGATTCCGATCGTAAAAGTATTTGCTTTCTTTTTCTTTCTTTTTCTTTAAGTGTACGAGTTGCGCTCGTCTTTTTATTTCCAATATTTTTCCATGTGCATGCAAATGTGTATAGGATGCTATTTTTTCCTCCCTTATGTATGCGCACTCGTTGAAGTCTCACGCGTATGTTATGCATAAGAGGGCGTAAATTTGCGAGCTAAGGGATATTATCGTTTATAGGGTGCTAATTTGAGAAGACACACGATACGTCGCGTTATTGCGGCGACATTACGGCGCCATGCAGCAGAGGACGTATGTACTACGTTATACGTAGGTACATATCTCGAGGTGAAGAGGGGGTTTATGTTAACGTCGAGTCTGATGAGCATCGTCGACGGTTCGAGAGTATCAAGGTCCTCTCTTCTATTGTTCTCCCCTCGATGCGATCGAGTCACCTGGATGTCACGCAGTGAGTATCATCCTGCCATAATTCTTTATTCGTTTCGTTAACGAACCGATCATCTGAAAATTGGCGCTAATCGATGCCCGAAAATCTTTGATAAAATTCCATCGAAAAGTTAACTATAGAAAATTCTTTCAATATTTGATAGATAATAAGCCCGTACGTTTCTCTGCGCTTTTTCGTTATTCTAGATATATATGGATACATACGTGTGCGCGCGTGTACACAGATGTACACGGTATATGCGGATAAGAATGGAAAAGACGCCGGATGCAATGGATAGAATAACATTTAGAAGCGCCAGTAGTTGGATTTATATCCTAGATATTCATTATGAACCGTTACTCTAGGAACACACGCTATGGTGCTTATAATTAAATCTGCTCTTGCTCATAACGCCGTCATTTATTCTCTTTCTAGTGCTTCCAAAGAACGGACGCACACATTCAAGAGGACCGTCGATATTATTAATATTTCACCTTGCATATCGCGTTACTTAATGAACGTTACGTTTAACCATTCTTTACTCGTCGTACATCGTATTTGTTAATAACTCGACTACGTAACGTTATAGATATTTCGTTCGACCATTATTCCACCTATTCAGCGTATAAATCTTCGTTTTAACTGGAATGAAATTTTAAATTTGTTTGTTTGTTTTTTTTTTTTTTTTTTTTTTTTATATTACAAGTACAATCATTTCGCTACGTTAATATTATGCAATTTATTATAAGACGGTATTAACGCAAGATTTCTAAACTATTTGATTGATTCGGATTAATACATTCGGAAGCAGTATCAGGTACCTATGTATATATATATATATATATATATATATATATATATATATGTATATATATATATATATATATATGCGGTTGGAAAAGTTTACATGTGCCTTGATAGCTTTACGCTTCGAGACACGAAGAGACCAACCAACGTACGCGCTACGATTTAGTCGAATTAGCGTAGAATCGAGTTAAGTTCAAAGTTACGATAATTGCCATTGTCTATGTACCTGTGTACCACGTAAAGTATTACGGCAGGCTATTGTTTAGAATGAATCCCATTTTCCGACTTTGCCCGAACGCGAGTTGCGTGCTGTGAACGATTTTCGAGCAGGACGAATCACTGAACTGAAAATAATTATTTTACGATCCGTCGACTTTCGTTTCGTTACGTTTTGTCTCGTCTCGTCCCCGTTAGTTAGTTTCCCGAGCGACACTTTGTCGACCGAGTACGTTGACTTTTAGCAAAAATTCCTCTGGCAAAGCGCACGGAGGTACGGTTTATATAGAAATGCAAATATACGAGTACAGCCACCGTTATTCTTCTGACGCGTATTCTTTCACCGTCGAGCTTTCTTTCTTCTCTCGAGGAAAAAGACAAAAACAAGAAGCAGAAGCAGAAGTAGGGGAAGAAGAAGAAGAAGAGGAGAAAGGATAACAAACACATTTCCGAGCAAAAAACGGCTAGCAGGGTACCATTCGTGGTTGTGATTATCATCCGAATTAGCCTGTCCTGTAAGGATACGTTAAAATTAATGGTGCATACTTATGAGAAAAATTTGACGAGAGAGAGAAAGAGGGGGGGGGGGGGAGTCGGAGAAACGACGAATTACAACTTCGAATAAATCGAGAAATAGGAGATTGGGGAATGTAAGCGGGCGGGAGGGGGGGAGACCCGAAGAGGAATGTAACGTCAATCTGGATGTTGCCTGATTTCACGTAATTGAATAGCAGCATCGCTTATGTACGCGAAAGGCATGCCATTAATTAAGACCAGAGCCAACGGAATAAGTTAATTAGAGGTTGTCACAGTACTTTCATATCCCAGATCGAAATACGACTCTTGTTCGACCTTTTTCCTTTTTCCACTTTTATTTTTACATTGGAGAATACCTTCGAACGGCTATACTGCGCAATCAATCGATTCGTCACACGTTCGATATTTCGCATAATTCGATCGCCGTTTGGGAGTGGCAAATCTAATAGAAGCTTTGTACTGTACCTAATTGCGGTCGAATTTCCGTTTCTTTTTGATAGATCGATGACTCCACTCATCCTTTCTTTCCTTCCTTTCTTCGTTTGCTTCGGTTCACTGCTTGATTATCCAAATCACCCATATTCAAGTTGAAAACTCTTTTCGTTACCCTCCGTTCAAACGCGAATTTATCCTTTGATCAAGAGAAAATACGATTCGCTTTCGTTGGAGTCGAGTAGTAGAGCTGTCGTACCAATTTGGATTCGTGCGTTAAGGTGCGCCTTATTGCGCGATCCATCGATAGGGAATAATCAGGAAAATGCCAACCCCGTAATAACAATAGGGGAGTTTAAGGAAATGCTAACGTTAATCATCAACGTTGAACGAATAATATACAACGTTGGGTCCAACTATACGGACTAGAATATCTATCCTACGGATGGATATTCTAATGACGATACACGCGCACTCGTTCGCTCGTAATTCCATATTGCTATTAATCTGTCTGAATTATGCAAGAAATACGTTATACCGAATTTCAACGGCATGGATAATCAAGTTCAAATCGATAATCCAATGTGATAGAATTCGAACCGATAGACGATAATTTGTCTCATAGAATCTTAGGAACGTTCGAACATATTTCAAGAGCATCGACATGATCGATCAAAGATCAATTCATCTTTTTTTCCCCATTTGATCATAAGTGCATAGACGTGTATCACATATAGGTATATACTAGTGGCTATTAAAATTTATGGAGATTTGTAACTTTGAAATGCACTCGCCATCCAGCGTCGATTTATTACTTTTTATTATGTTATACTACGTATACACGGCGCTCACGTAGCAAAAACGACCGAGTGAGTATAGACAGATTTTTCGTGCGTCCTGCATTATATGCCGTTTCGATAAATTATCCACCAGTCTCCAGTACGATCTTAAAAAACAAAATCATTTCATTTATATGCAAAGCTAACACTCACTGATATCCACGAAAATTCATTACTTTCTCGGATCGTTCACTCGTGATAATAATTTCCTTTCCCTCTTTAACTTTCATGGATTTATTACACCGACCAATCTACGAAGTAGAGTTATTAAACTCCTCACCTGGTTTTACTCCACTAGCAGCGACCTGGCAATAACGATTTTCAACGAGCGAATTTTTCAAATCAAGAAACATTGATATATACACAGATACATACATACATACATACATTTATACCGGGTCCCTGATGAATATAAATGATAGAATCGCTATTTTTTTCCTACCCATTTTTTTCCCTCCTAGATAGACGTAATCAAATTCTGAATGCGATATGAACTTTATATGGTTACTATTTCAAACTATCTATAATTTCTAGTTTACAGGAGTAACTAAGAGATGTAAAAGAATTTCCGATATTTTTACGCAAGTCCGAAAAATATTTGCCTCTAAATCTCATTAAAAATCGTGCGATATAAATGGAAGAAAATTACGCGCGAGGTGAGAGAGTGTACGTAGATTCGGTAGATACCTAATAAGTTGAAATAGGTACTACTGGTAGTACGCCAGTACAGAGCGCGTTCGCGTCTTTCCGTTGGCAAGAAAATGTAATTAAAGTAGTTGAAATTAAGAATTATTTCCGTTCAATAGAAAGTACTATCCTGTCTATGTAGTTGGTTGCTAGTGCCGCTGGTTGGAAGGGTCAAAATGAGTGGAAACTACGTCGAAACGAGGAAAATGGACTAATACCGTCGCGTCCTCCATTCGCACGATATTACTCTCAATACGGAAACTAACGTCATAGAGAAGGGAGATTGTAGTAGAGCCCAGCGAAATCAGCTTGTACATGAATCGACGAGCAAGTCCCCTTTTCTAGCCGCTTTTGGCGAGCAAGTAAATGCTAGTAAACTTAGTTGGCCGTATACTCGCGGTGGTACATCGTTGAATTGTAGGAGGGGATAGGATGCAGAGATGGGACTGTAGAAATGGGGGGTGCTAGTCTCTGTTGGGGTGTGTCCCGGTTGTAAGTTGCAACATACCGGTAACTGTTACGACTACCGTCCTTCCTTCTCTCCGTTTCCTGTCACTGCGATGCTTCCTTTCGTTCTCTACATCTCTCTCTCTCTCTCTCTTTCTCTCCCCCCCCCCCCCCTTCACATTCCTGCTAAGTGTATTCTCTTTCGTATCCGCCTTTATCAAATCTCGCGGCCGAGACAATTTTCCTTCTACATTTCATTTTTATATTATTATTGTTATTAGTCTCATTATTATTACTACTCTTACCATCTCTTTTTATTAGTCCCTTTCTGCTAGATCAGGGAAAGTCGTTTGCACGACTTTTCTCTCTCTCTCTCTCTCCCCCCCTGTTTCTTCCTTTTTAACCTTCCGATAATTTTTTCTCTTTCTCTTGAAACTTTCGGACCTCCTTGGCGGATATTCTTTTACCGTCGGAAAAGTGCTTCTTTCGAGAGTTTGCCGAGTCTTCTTATTACCTTTAAAGCTAACAAGGATAATATCGTAACTCGCGTAACAGTACTTATTACAAATTATCCTAGCCTAGAGTTGAATATAGCAGAACTTGGTGTTATTCGTTCGTGCGGTCGCATTACGTAAATTTTACTGGCACGTTACGTTATATAGCTATAATATGGGATATTTCAAAAGGACTATAATATTATTAATCGTGCGAGTAGGAAGAAGGAAAGAATTTACGTGGATCGAAACGCCTGTAGTGAAAAGTTTTGGAGTAAAATCAGCTCGCATATTTCGTCACGATTGAAAACTTACTTTTAACGCCGTGTTCTGCTATTATTCGAAGAAGAACGCGAAAGATTTTCCATTCTCACTTCTTTCGAAGAGGGTGAATCCTGCTTGAGAAAATTATCATAAAGTTTCCATCTCGCCTTCTTGAAAAAGATTTAAGGTATTCTCTTTTATTCGTTCTATCGATTCGAGAGGAATCCGATATACCGGATTTCCGCACTTCCTTTCTCCAAGTAAGGTATGTATGTGCCGATAATTAGATACGAGTATGGCCAAATACACCTATAACCATAATCGTCGACTAACTATATATATATGTATGTATGTATGTATGTATGTATGTATGTATGTATTATTCTCTCCGCATTGAACTAGAACTTGGACCGAGCGTATTAAGCTTATATCATCTAGATACGTCAAAATACGAAAAGGTAAATCGAGAATGGCTTAAAGCATGCAAGAAATACTTGATGATTATCAGACAAAACAAATTTTACCTAAAGTTGTTCATTACCGACATAATCGAGTGTTTCAAGAGAGCCATTCATTCTGCTTTGCGTAATGATTTAATATCGGTCCAATCGATTTTCAATTATTCGAAATACGTTTATCGGTCGTTGTCGCGTTTGTTTGTTTCCTAAAAAAATACAAATATCTACACGAATAGAATTTTTATAGAAATTGTTGAAATCATCGATTACCAGGAGGATCGCGTTTTATCGCGTCCTATCGTCTCACCCACACGACGAAGCCAGTGAAACGTATGCGATCGAGCTTGTAGCGTGCGCTAAACTCTAATTAAATCCGCCGGTCGGTGTGACTAGAGGGTACATCATTGAGTTTTCCGGGAAATTTAGCCGGATTATGTCTGCCATTCCTGTTCGAGAAACCCTTCCTCGACCACTTCGATAACTGCTTTTCCATGTAAAAATGTTGAAAGGAGAAGCTCGAGAATCGATATCGTGTTCGGATAATTTTCGTTCGAACATTGTCTTTCGTTCGTGTTGCTAGAGAGAGATGGTAGTAAGAACGCTCGACAGAATGTTCTCGGATCGTTCGTACCTACGTAAGCAGGATAAAATTGAGTGCGTTGAAAGTGAAGTCTACTCAAAGGAAGTAAAAAGGAAAATGTATCCTCTCTCTCACTCTATCTCTATTTTCCCTTTGTCCGTCCCTCTCAGTATCGATTCAATCGGAACGAATTTAACGAGAAGCTCGTTAAGAAAACGAGCACGTTTTTAGTTTAATGGAAAATTCGTTGGTCAAGGAAAAATCTTGGATTCGTTTGTATCTTTTTGCTGGTCAAACTCTCTATGGTGATTTTCTCGTCAAATATTTGGACTCGCGGTTAATTCTTCGAGTAGCTATCTCGTTTTATAGAATATACGTGGATGGTACTACAACGGCATGTACTCTAACGAAACTTGTTTAAACGTATCTACATATCTTAATCCATAGACACGCACGCATTTGAGTTTAATCGCGATTTCATCTCAGAGCAAAGACTTGGAGTATGCGAATGTGGCTGATGGAAAGGGTACTGGCAAATACAGGGTACGTCCCACGTACACGTGAACCGTATTCCGTATTTCCATATTTCCATATTCCAATATTGGGGAAGCGTTGATAACGCATAACTGCTGTCGCGGTTACATCAAAATGCAGTAGCGCGACGAGATTTGTGTGTATAACCGGTGCGCGCTAAGTCAAGAACGCAATATTTACGAGTGATAAAATGGGACTCGAACGATTTTAATCCGTTGATTAGTCCGTTTTTGCCTTTCGTTCGATTACTTTGCGATAACGGTCGAGTATCTTTAATCTTGAAACCAAGAGAGGAATTCGTAAAGAAAAGCTAAACTTTTTCCCAGGAGAATGTCAAGGCGTTTCTTTCAACGCGAAGAAATTTGTTCAACTTGATTTTTCCTCCCCAAAAATGCTTCTTCCCGTCCAAACTCGATCGCATAAGCACGAAACATTCGGACGTCGAAACGCGCACTGTTCTCGCCTACAAACTAAAATCATATTCCAATATCGAAATACATTGATTGCACTCGCGTCAAGCGATACGTGCTGCCTTCGGATTTATAGGATTTATAGGACATGGATAGAAAACGATATAGAGAACGATAGCTAGCCAACTACGACTTTTCCTTCTTCGGCGAATTTAGCAAAATGTCTTTCTTTAATGCCGCGAACTAACGACCAATCGTTAGCTCATTTAACGTTCAAAGTATCTGATTAACTCAAACTTTCTATTATAATATTATAATATTATAATAGAAAAGAGCACTGCGTGCTCGCGTCGCACGAATTTACATGCATACGCGTCGCTCGTACGTTCGAATATGTGCCGGGTCGAGAACGTTACTGCTAAAAAGATCCTCCAAAAGAATTTAGAATCATAAGACACGATTCTTTGAATATTTCAACAAATTGAGGAAAATCCTAATTTCTAGTTTCTTTAAACGATATCAATTAAATAGGATGACTACTAGTCGGAGCGTATAATTAGCTTTTTGTTGCGGCAAAAGTAGTCAGTCGTTTATATCAGCTTGATCTACAACTTAGAATTGAATGCGCAAAACTAAACTTCGATTTGGCTACACATCGATAAAATTCGTATTCCGTATAGCGAATGGAACGAAACACCGATCGATGCGAAAGGACGCGTAAATTAATTTTCCACGAATGCAGAGAAAAAAAGAATATTGGAAAGGCGGCGCGTCGTTAAAGGAGGACCGGGGATAACGAACTATACACAGGATATATATATATATATATATGTATTTATATATATATATATATATATATATATATATATATATATATGAATACAGGCGAATAGGATAGTGCTCCCATCCTTCTTGATAATAGTGGAAAGAAGAGGAAAGAGAATAATTTATCGAGCATTTTATGTGGTAATGAACGGAAATGAAAAGCGCGCGCGCTTCGTTTCAGAGAGCGCGATATTTCATTTCGTAACGAAGCAGAAAAATGATCGTTTAACATTTCCACTTGGCGTCGATTAGGGTGAGAGAGAAAAAAAGACATGACGGTGGTCACGGATATTCGTTCAGCCTTTTTTCATTTGTCCTACTCGTCGAATTTTTTTTTCCATTCGAATCATTAGACTCGTGTTAAGCGAACGGAATACGAGCTATACTTGCAGTAAGTTAATGGCGTTTAGTCAGTGACAACCCTCTCGACTCGAATTTTCCCTTTCCATCGGTCGTCGTAAGTGATCCCGTTCTATTTCCCCTTTCTATTTCATAGAGATATGTCGTCGTGTGATATAATCGTAAGACGTGCGAGGTACTTACGTCGTCCACTTCCCAACCGTCCTTTTGCCAAAAGTAACAGCTGACGAAGGCTGCGGCAACTACGGCAAGAGGTCCAGCACCACCGAGCTCGATAGCTTCGCTTCCAAAGACCGCGACCATTCCACCTCCTAATAGCATCAATACCCTTAAGGGCACCATGAAGGGCTGCAACGAATTAAATCGAAGAATCGTTTTAATATTAAAAGATTGACGAAAGATGGATGATTGGGCGATCTTGGGACGTGATAACAACCATAGTAGGACAAACCGCATCGACGTATCTATGCACACGATGGACGCCGTTAATAGGTACTTTACAGGGCGTCGCTTCTCATAAGCTCGTTGTCGCACAGGAGGAAATGGATAGCAACCGTTGCATGTATACGATGTATAACGTCGAAAAGGGAAGGAGGAGGAGGAGGAGGAGGAGGAGGTGGTGGTGGTGGGCAAGGGGATGAAGTTGACGAGAGAGGTGGCGAGGTCTGGGTGGTACTGGTGGCTTTGCATATGCGGTCCGTACATACGGGAGGAGCTACGGATCGATGACGAGCTCGAGAAACTTTGAAGCACGTGTGTGCAGAGGGAGAGACGAGCAAACACTATTCCAACGTCCTAGCCTACCGTAAAATATGAATGAAGAGAAATTTTCTTTCCTGTCTCTTTGTAGAACGACCGCGTTCTTAGCTATTTCATTCTTCCTTGCTCGATCTCGCTCGCTCCTCCTCTATCTCCTTCCCTCTGTCGTTACGCTTTCATACGTTTCCCTCTATATATTTGCTGCTTCGTTCCGAAAGACTACCGAAAAAATACGATCTCGGTAATTTTGAATTTTTCAGCTCGTTTTAACGAAACTCGTTCGATCCTCCTTCTTCCCTTGGCGAGAAACAAAGGGTACGATTTTAAAGGATTGCGCTTTCTCAAAGGAATTGGACCGATCTTTAGTTCCTTTTTATTATATCAAACGTTTTGTCTCTCGGTAAAACGATCGTCAAAGACGCGTGAGAACACGATCGAGGTCTCTTTCAAGGCTATCGATTTTTTCTTTCGATTTCGTCGACTCTTTAATTTCGTTCGATTACATATTTATCTTGACCTTTGACAAATCGATATCCTCTTTTTTCTCTCTCTTTCTCTCTCTCTCTCTCTCTCTCTCTCTCTCGTTTCTTCACCTATTGAACCGTTTGAAATCCTACCTCATTTCCGTGGACGATTGTTTCCTTTACCCAAGTTCACCTTTTCTTTAACGAGCGAGCCATTGGGAACGTGTATATACGGGCAAAATATCGAATCGATATAATCGATCTTTTTCGAGAGAAATCAGGTATATTACACGTATCATCTTTACGGACAAAAATATAAAGTTTAGCCTTACAGTTCTGTCAGTTTTATGTAAAACATTTTTCTTTAGGAATTTAAAAATAATTGTGCGCTAAGCAGGCAGAGAACTTTTCGGTAGACTTAACATGTAAATGAACAAGATTACTCGAGAGGTACAGTGCGGAAATATTTGTAAAACTGCGTTCAGAATGGTCGTATACCATGATAGTATAATGGAGTCGGATTTACGTATACCTGCTGACGCTTTTTTTCCCTCCAAGAATTCGAAAAAAAGAACAGAAAATGAAAAAAGCTACGGGGAAAGAAATTCTCGTCGGAGTTATTTTTCGCCTCGTGCATTCAACTCACGCTCGGTGTTATGAAATTTTGGTGGTACGGGGAGGGAGGGAGAGAGAGAGAGAGAGAGAGAGAGAGAGAGAGAGAGAGAGAGAGAGAGAGAGAGAGAGAGAACGCGTGTGAGAGAAACTAAAGATTCCATCGATAAAAGAAGTACGCGGTATCCCGCTAGACTCTCGTGAATGCGTCGGGATATTGCCGTAAGTCGAGGAATATTGCGTTTCCGCGACACCCATCTTCTTCGCCGTTCCTTTCCCTCTCTTTCTCTCGTTTTATCGATCATTTCAAATACAGACGCGACACGGACACGCAGATGCGTACGTGTGCGAGAGACCAATAGACTTCCGGGAAAGGAAAGAGAGAAAAAAAGAAACATCTCCTCGTCGTGCCATCGTACAAAGGCCCTATAACGAGCTCAAGTTTCTTTCTAAGGAATAAGATGAAGTTGTCCATTAAAGAGGTTCCCTCGCGTTAAATACCCCGTGAACTTTTTCGATTCGACGATGTCGCTTAATCGTGCCGCCTATATACATGTGTATAGTTTATCTTATTTACTCCTCGAAGACATTGGACAACGACATTAATCCTCCGGTTTTATAAAAGGAGGGCTTTACTTCTCGAGAATGGATAATTTATATCTCACGGCCTTCGAAAAAATTTGCAATATGCATGAAACATGAGAGCGAGCAAGGTACAAAGATGTTTCATATATGTATGCCAGTATCCGTACATTCGATATGTATCGTAGGAGATGCTGCCAAGAGGAACGACGAATATGATTTAAGATATACTTTTTTATCAGCTAGGAGACGAGCTCTTTGCTTTATGATAAATAGAGGTGTCGGAGATGCGATCTTTCACTGGATAGGACCAAGAACGTTCGCTCGTTGTCATTCGAGGAAGCTCTCAGTTTTCAACGCGGGTCGTAACTTTCGCTTTGATTCGAAGAAACCTCGAAATCCCTCTGTAATACTCTTGAATGTTTGTTTTTCTTATCTCTCGCAACGGAAGTGTCTTCTTGCCGATTCCAGGAGGATTCAATTTCACATGTATCACAGAATTCGTGAATACGATATTTCTTTGGTCCTGGGAGGGGAAAGAGAGAGGGAGAGATACATACATTCCCACTAGGTATCCAATTTTCTATCGTACCAACGAACGTACCAATCGAGGTTTTATTGTCGTCGCAAAAAACTCGTGGCTGGAAAAACGCAAAGTGGAAACACGAAAGAAAATCGTTATAGGATGTGCGCTCTGGATGCGCCAAAATGTGTTGTACCACCGTGCTACTGCATATATATATATATATATATATATTATCGTTCTCTTTCCTTTTGTCTCTTTGTTATTCGTATTTTTTCATAAAAGGTTAACCACATTAGCTTTTCGCATGGAGGATTTATCTTGGACGGTCTTTTTCAGGAAACTAAACGAGCTACGATCTCAAATTCATCGTGTTAGCAAGTATTTAGCATTATCTTGAAAATCGTAGACTTTGTAACACTCAAAATAAACATTCAAAATTTAAATCTCGTTCGGACAAGTTTTCAGGGCAGAGATCAGTTTCCCAAAGCCACGAAACGACGTGTCCTCGGATAAAAATTAACGTTTTACTTTTCTCCAAGGGTTTCTCGTAAAAGCACAATATTATCATAAAATAATACGATAGTAAATTTGCAAACAATTCTGCCCGCAAACTTTCAACATAAGCCACTTGTCCTCGTTCTCCGTCCAACGAAACTTTCTAAGAGCGTCCTTCAATAAACTCGAAACAGGTGGTATTAAAGGGTAGCGGAACACAAAGCCTGCGTATAATCCTCGTATTTTCGAGGGAACTCAAACATGCGGTATTTCGACTATTTCTCCGAGTCGTCCTCGGCGAACGATTAAAAATCGTCGCGAGTTAAAGAGGGGGACAGAGAGAGAGAGAGCGAGAGAGAGAGAGAGAGAGAGAGAAAGAAAGAAAGAATTCCAAACTCTTGGGTAGGATCTAGAGGATAACGATATAGGGCGGAGCATACGATAATTAGCGTAATCGTGAGAAATTCCGGACGGTTTCTTGGTAGCCCGGTAACGAATGTAGGTAACGACGCTGGTTACGCGGCTAAGTATCTCTTACGTTGTAATTCGTAAAGTCGTAGAAAGATAATTGAAATTGGCGACGTCTAATGTACGTGAGAGAACGGAAAAGGAAGAAAAGGAAGCGGTTAGATTTGTTAGGAGGCAATGCAGGTGCCAATGCGGCAACTAAGTTCTGACCGAATCCGTACACAAACATTTAATTCGCCCAAATCGATAGGCGTCGTCGGCGCCTTTGCCATCGCCGTGACTACGAAACTTTGCAACTTTCGACGCAGGCATTGAATTTCAAATTCGTTGCAATCGATATTTCGAAAACGGATGAACGTCCTACGTTTCTCCGTGTACTTATTTTCGTCTATCCTTTTCTTTCCCCGTCGCGTCCATGTATGCGCAACGTGATCGCAATAAGAAATAAAAAATTTGTCCTTTAAGCAGGCGTTGCTTCGACTTTCTAACTCGATTCGTAACTCATGTTCCCTGGCTTTTCGTATTTGAAATTCGATCTCTCGGTGCTTTTCAAAGGCGAGATCGCAATGATTTAGATTTCTCCTCGAAGTCGATCCTTCCTTCGTCTTGAGACTCTTCTTCTTCAAAAACGTACACGAATCTTTTACCTTCTTCCCCGCGACTTTGATTATCTCACTTTTTTGGAGATTTATCGAAGATTAAAATATACCCGATAGATAGTTACTTGCTTTTTCTCGAATGACTTTTTTTAACGTGTCGTCGGTAACGATCACGTTTCCGTAACGCGTCACAGATTATTACGGCCAGATGTCAGGCGAAAAAGTAAATATGTAAATGTTTGCTTTTTCACGCGACATCCGAGCACAGAGCAAGAGAGAAGAGTTCGGTTCGAGCATCGTAGAGCAAATATATTCTTCGTCGGCTTCTTCATTATCGTAGCAGGCTGCAACTCTCGCAAAATGAACTGCTTCATAGACCGGCGTTGCTGCATTCGCAGTTAGCTCCGCTCTTATGAAAGCACGACGGATTGTTGGATGGCTATCGACGTAATTCGTCTCTTCGCTTCTTTACGAGCCATCCTCCTCCTCTCTCTCTCTCTCTCTCTCTCTCTCTCTCTCTCTCTATCTCATTTTCGTAATTTGCAATTCATGAGAGTGGAACGACACTTTTCTTTACGCTATTTTTCGTCTCGTTTACTCGGAAAAGAAACAAAATTCGCATTCTCTGTCCTTTGCCTCTCGTTTAAAAAGATCTACGAGAAGAGAAACCCAATTTTCGGAGCTCTTACTTTTATAACATTCGATAGGACGTTGCTTTGGAATAATAGTTAAATGTCACACATGTATGTTACTTTGTGCGCGAAGAATGAGAAATATTCGGACACTTGGTGAGTCCGTAAATACGTAGTAGGTATACATGTACATACACGTATCCGCGTGCAT